TGTCTGCATACCGATCGTGTGTGTTTGTAGGGCCGTCTGACACCGGGTGTGTCGGGTGATCTGTCAGTGTCTGGCGCGCTGTGACGGACAGTTTGTCTCCGTCGCCTCTCACCAGCCGCTCCCCGGCTCAGCCAGGAGCGATCCGGACCGATTTCTATCGTAACTCAACGGGTTTCTAAACTTTGACGCTTATCTTATTGTTGACGCCAATAGGAGTCGTACCTAACTTTTCACATCATGCAAACTACATGCAATTGGGCTTTCACTTCAAAGGGCCTCCTCAATGTCGACAGATGACTGTTCAGGTTTCCATGACAAAATTCAGTAAACGTCGAATCCTCCGCTGTTGCCAAGCACGTTTGCGTGAGTTCCATCTGTGCCGCCTCTGGTGGCCCAGTAACATTGCTCCGGACACTGGACGCTAAAACAGTCCAGTCACTCTCCACAGAGCGACAAAGACTGACTCGTGACCGACCTGGCTACTTGTGGGGTGGTCCAAATCGTTGACAACCGTTCACCCCAGTTACAACTGAAGTCCGAGTCAGAGCGGCTCGTGTCGTGTCGCTAGTGACCGTTGCGCCCAGATACACCATGCTAGATGTAAATGGAGCGCTGGGGTAGGATGAAAAGACTGAAAAGGTGCACACTCAGCGACCTCGGACTTCGGAGGAATTTTCGCTTCGGCTGGGATGCTTGCTTATTACTTATGTGCAGCTTCACATCCTATGTAGGTAAGTGGTAGACCGTTCTGTCTTGATGTGTCTCGTCACCGTCGCGACGGCACATCATCGGGTAAACATCCTCCGACGTACTCGAGACTGAAGGACTTACACGACATGCAGGGTCTGACGTCACGATCCTAGAGGCGTGACGTCACAGTGTCAGACGCCAGCTGGCGTCAAACAGTTAGTCGCGAACGAGCGGATCATTACTGAAATGAAAAATTGGGGCTGATGAGAACTGGAGATGACTTGCGAACGCATTTTACTCCCATTAACGGGGTGGAAAGATATGAGGCAGATGCCTTGCCCGTGATTCGATTAATTTTGGCGGTAGTTAGCAAAGCCTTTATGTTTTACCGCACCGCTATCCCGTCATTTAATCGGAAATTAATATAAAATCCGCTATTCCAATCCATGCGGTGATGGGGGATATTATAGGAAATACCCAAGAAGTGTCGTTCAAATAGGATTATACGATCTCACTTGCATAATTTTGTTATGACATGCAGCTTGCGAGGGGTACCTAGTGCAACGCTTCTCACGCATCCTCGGGGCATCCATTTTAAAGGGACCCTCCCACCTTCAAAAAAGTTAATGAATTGGCATGAAAGTGATGTCGCTCGGTTCAGAAAGAGCGAAAACCAATATCTACCAAATTTCATTGAAAAATATTCACCGGTTTTCAAGATATTAGACTTTTACTTTTGTTTACTTTTTGGGATCTCCGCTGTTCCTAGCGACTTTTTTTGAAAGTGCGGCATTTGTTGCGCGCAAAGTAGCATATACCACCGCGTGCTACCAAACGTTTTGGTAAAAGATTTAAAAATCGTTAGATCTCCGTTGACGTCACAAATTCTAAGGGGGCATACCAATGCATTAGCCTCTTAGAATCCGAAAACTGCAAGTTTGAAATTCCATATCTCCGAATTAAAGCATTTTTCGATGTTGTGAGTGCCCGAACCGGTATTTTCAGGCCATGGCCACCAATATGGCTATCTCAACTCAAAACTAATGTTAAGGTGGGAATGGGATGGTCACTTTAAGTACTGCTTACCTACTTCAATCACAAAACAAATATGGTGGGTAATCCTCAAATAAGACCTCATCTGTCATCACTTCATAATTTGACATCTTGGTGACATTATTTGGTGTTATTTTGCGGTCAGAGCAATTTTGATCATTTGAAGTGCCTGCTGAAGTGGTGATCTCGCCACCCTTGCCGTACCTTACCTTACCTACAGCTGGGTATCGATCGATATAAGTGTTTCGCAGTTGTCTCCAGATAATGCTGCTTTACAGTCTTTATCATCCTGTTCTATGTATGTAGGTCTTGTTTCCAAATACAGTGCAGAATGCTATCTGGTGATGCCATTGTCTTTGCGGTCGTACATTACTGATACTGTATTTACTGATTTTACGTCACGCGAATAGACGATAGAGATGCTGTGTAATCGGCATTGCAGTCACTGGTGTTACGCTCATGTTATCAGTTGAAGTCTCCCACCCTTTTCCCGTGAAGGTAGCCTGAGTTCGCTGCTCGCTATGTCATGTAACATAATAGCGCATAATAACTCAATAAAACTTAGTGTTCTATTGTTATTAAGCTGTCTAGAGATGTGTTCAATGCTTCTCCGCCGAGTAGCTTCAGGGAAGCGTCAACAGTTCAATACAAATCAGCAAGTTGACTGGAAAAGTGCGTGGCGTATGTGTGAAAAGGGAGGCTTTGACTTTATGTGACCGAAATAAAGAAGGAGAGACATGAAAGTCACGAAGCGTGTGCTTCTTAATCCAGGCATTGCACCGTGCACGGCTCTAGTTAAATTGCAAAGGGGCTTAATAGTGTGAAACTGCCATGAACAAGCGTCCTTGGCTGTTATTTAAGATCTGGTACCAGTGGTCTTGATTGCTCGTTAATTGCCGGAACTGGGGATTACACACAGCTTCTTTTTTGAAATATTCAGAAATAATAGTGTCGGTATATACGGAACGTCACAGAAAACCACAGTCCTGGATGGTTGGACCTTTTCAATTACGTTTATTCTCCACCTTCATTAATTTGTGATGCCCCCCCCCCGTCCGGCAGTTTTATTTAATGCTTTATGATTCGCTTCGTCTTTGGTGCATCTGAGGCTCTCCTTGGTATATGGCAATTGGCAATCCTCTATCGTTTCTCGCCGCTCGAACCATGTCCCCAGCCTCAGATGCTGCGCTCAGTCCCGTCATTCAGTTTTACCTCCAGAGCCGTATACCATCCCGGTGGCGGCGGCTCGGTCCCGCCCTGTGCGTGGGGGCCGCACCGGTGCGGTGTGCTGGCACCAAGAGTTCCCAGCTGTAAATCAGACTGAGCGTCCCGCGCCGACCGCTGTGGCCCTTCAACAAACGGACTGTGGACTTATCCATCAGCGACTCAGAGCGGCCGTGACGTGACGGTGACCACGTGACGGTGAGGCGTCACGGAACAACGCCCCGGCGCCCGAACGGTCACCGGTGTGGTGACGACGTGACCGTCACAAGTACCACCGTCACCGTCACCGTCTAGAGCTGCCTCCCTTGACAGTTCGTTATATCTGTATCACACCATATTGTTTCTAATTATGTTCATTATGTTAGTTACGGTCGCCCGTCTTTCAGTGTTATACCGTTTCCGCCAGCATTACGGCCGCAACCGTCTCCCGACCAGCTCTGCTGACTAGTGACTTGTGACGTTAATTCCAAGTCACAACCGTTTGTTGCGGGACACACCCCCTGACCACAGCATGACCGTTGTTATGGGCGCGTCGTGACCTCTGCTGGGACGCCAGGGCTGCCCCGCTGGCACCGGCGGCGGCCCGGAAGGTGCCGTGATTTGTGATGGGAGCTATGGTGGCACTTGTAACTTTGCACAGTCAGCTGGAGGGAGACCATGCCGACTGACAATGCCTCTGTGCTATGGGGCTGAATGCTGAGAAGTGAGGGCTAGGTCGGGCCGATTGTCAACTGCCACCGTTTGCGGTGTAGGTGGGAGGGGCTGGGGTCAGCACTGGCGGTCCCACCCGGGGTTGGAGGCTTCGGTCCATTAGCCCGCGACCTACATGACCACAACACAAGGCACGCCGGCAGATTGACACAACCACGACCCCGAACCGAGACGGGGAGGCGCCGACTGTGTATCAGGGGGGTCTCGATGTTCAACGACATGAACTTGGATCCGTATTTGCCATCGTTCCGTCGAGAGGCAAAAAACGCGACTCTTACCAGACGTCACTGAGGTGGTATTGGTGTGAATGTCGTGTGCGTGATTTGTGTGTGCTATGATGATGCCATGCCATGTCCACTTACCCTATGTTTTATCGGTTTTATCTGCTTTACGTGTCAGGTGAAAAGCCACTTTTTGCTGTGGACCTTCGATGAATACATATCTGATCTGATCTGACAAGCGCCAAAATTGGTGCTGGGATGCAATATAATGCAATGCCATAGGCGACATAGAGGCGGTAAAGTGACATTTGGCCTGCAAATGGGTGTGGCCGTATAAACGCCTTCCCTTGCATGGCTGCCGGTGCAAATGGGCTGGATAAGGATTGACTGGTTCCGTACAGGAAACGAATATTTTCCGCTTAGTTCTTGCTCGTACTGACAAGGAACTAGCTTTACAAAGTATATTACATCAGATTCACTCAATGCACACAAAATGTGATTGGTCCGAGTTTGGAAGGCAGCGAGGTCTTTCCACCCTGGCTGGGCATCGCGCGCACGAGCGGACTCGATGGTGGGCAAGTGAACTAGCGCTTCTCATTTTAACCGCTAGGTGACGCGTCAGGTGCAGGAGTCTCCGGTCCGTGTTTGGCGCTCAGCGACTCGGGGTTCGGCAAGTCGTCTAGACCACGTCTAGACCACGGATCACTGATGGCCGTCGCTAGGGAGGGGGGGGGGGGGGAGTCGGGAGTGCTTTGGCACCGCCAGTGACATGTTGAGACATTGACACTGCAAATTGTGAGCTGATTTGCTGGTATCGCCTCCTCGTCCCTCAATAGGCTCGGTGACACCGTTCGGTACGGGGGGGGGGGGGTGCTTCCAGCTCGATTCTGACCCCTGCCCCCCTTTCCCCTCAATGCAGCTGTTCTGTGGCACCGATCAATCGATGAGAGAATATTCTGAGCTCTATTCTGACCCCTGCTTCCCTCGATGGGAGAATACTCTGAGCTCTTTTCTGACCCCTGTTCCCCTACCCCCACTCCACAGCTACTCGGGGGGGGGGGGTATTTTTAGCTCCTCGCTGACCCCTGTCTCCCTCCACAGCTGCTCGGTGACACGGGCCAGTCGGTGCGCGGCCTGGTGCGTCACCTGGTCCGTGAGCTGCGTCTAGTCGAGCCTCTGTACCGGCTGGCCGACTCTCTGGCCGAGGTGGACCCAGAGGCGGAGGCGTCGCTGCTGGAGCGGGAGACTCTGCTGCTGGAGGAGGGCCGCCTGGAGCACCATCCACGGGCAGGTGAGTGAGTGGATAAACGGATGATAGGATACGCAATGGACAACAGCGAGCACACAACAGCGAGCTGTCCTTGCACTTCGAGCTCGGCGCTAGTCAGGAGGGACAGATCCGGCTTAGTATGGGCACTAGCGTCTCGTCTTCTAAAGATGGTGGAAAGGAATTCGCTTAGAATTGCACCTTACCTATATCTGAATTAGTTAGATTGGAGCATAACGCTATGGGTATGGTCAATGCTTTCATAAGATAACAGGAAGGTCTAAGTAGGTATTCTAAAGAAGATTGAAATGACCTTGAGAAGCAACGTGCACCTACCGACGGTAAACTACGGTGAATACACTACGACATAGTTGAGGTTAAGTAATCGGTGCAGTTTTCTCAAGTAGCAATTTGCTTTAGGAGGTGATTATGGATATGCAAATGAACGAGACGTTTATGTGGAGGGGATGACAAGGTTAGTCTGAGATCCCGGATCTAGCCCGGTCTAGCAGCTCCACTTTGAAAACGCTTCTGGCCTTCCCTTTTAGTTTAAAGCTCAATAATTTGACAGTGCGACTCTCAAGGAAGGCTGGTAACGTCCGCACTCACACCCGATAAATGTTGAGATTGACTGCTTCCGCCCTTGAGGTCATTTGCTGCAGTTACTGGTGTGCACTTTTCCCACTCATTTGTCGTCTGTTAGTCGTCCACTCAGGCTATCGATACCTGGCTTACCTAGGTCACCGGCCAAAACGAATGACAATGCAGCCAGCCGAACGCTTAATTTATGACAGGCGTTGTTAATTTCACGCGTTAAGCGATCTAAATTAGACCCAGTGCCGAAAAAACTGTCCCTCTGCTCGAGTTCACATGCGTTTGTGCCGAGATCTCGGCACGGTCCTTCATAAACTCTCGGTCGCTCGCAGCATTCCAGAGCGGTTTTTCTGCCATTAATTGACGGCGGGGTCGGGGGCGGCGCCCCTGTCGGTGGGAGGGGTGCGCGGGAGAGGGGAGGGGACCCCGTCGGTAAAGTACTCGGAGCACCTGTTGGAGGGAGGGAACCGCAGTCTTGTGGAGTGAAAGGGTCGTAAAAGATGTCCAGCGCGCATATCTTGACCGGTATATATCGGAGACGCCGCGGAGATGTGGGCTCGTACGCTCGTGAATCGTGGTTCCATTGTTCGATGACAGTTCCGCCTAACTTGGGCACTTCCCTATGACCTATTGCAACCATACACAATACACATGATGACGGAACTGAACTTCGCATCTACTCAGACATGTGTATATTTACTCTTCAGTGGCCGATGTCCCTGCAGACAGTGAACCGTAAATCATTGCATCAGCGTCATTACAGTAGCTTACCGAGGACTTATCAGTGACGAAGCTGGGCATTTGAGCCCAACGAGACTCATATTTTCTCCCTGTACGTGCGACACTAACTGACCATGTGTCGAACGTTGATCAGATGTGTCCTATACCGAATGCTATCTAAACATTATCAGTTCACTGACTTGCAAAAGGAGGCGTGCACCCATAGATGCACTTCTCCTTGCATCGTCACCTTAATAACGTGAAGCACAATAACGCGACTCGACCCATTGCCTTTAGCCATCTCACTGATCACACGAGGACAAATGTTAATAGGTAGATGAACCGACCACAGCTCCCGTCTGTTCTGAGTTTAGCAGGAGTGAGATCAGCCGAAAGGGAATGATCGACTGGAGAAAAATACGAACAGTATAAAAGACTCGTAAGACTCGTAAGCGCCAGTTTTTGAAAATATGCCCATTATTTTTAATTTCATTTGCATTCAAGCCAATTTTTGAGTACATAAATTCAATTTTCCGTGTACCTACAGTTCCTTATCCCGTCGGTAAATATAAAATCTGCGCTTCGGAATCACATTTACATATATGTTTCTTAACCGGATCCACGCACAAAGTCCCCGTCCGTTCTTTGAAACCACCCTGATGCCCGTGAGCAGAATGATTGTCAGACCTCCCACCCTCTCTCCTGTCCTCCCTGCCTCTCCGCACCCCACTGCGGAGTGTGACTGTGGTGGAGCCCCCTCTGCACGTCCGTCAGATGGCTGTTCCGATTACGTCACACACTCCCGAC